GTTTTCCCCATGTGTAACGTGTATACGAGCCAGTTTCCCTTAAAAGTCCTCCACGAAGGCATCCCTCCCTTTAGGGAGGCAGATAGCCCTCGTGTGCTTTGCCATAATTAAATAATCCAATCCAATCCTTAATTAAATATAATTGATTTGTAAATTCTACTAGAACTGACGGTAAAAATTGAAGTGGAAATAAGTAATATGGTGTGCAATCTTGATTAATATAAATTTAAAATATTTTGCATAGAAAATGTTTGCATTCAGACAGAAAGTTTTTTGAAATATTTGCAATTACTTTATAAGAAGGATTTATTAATAACAGCAATAATTACTTATTATATTACTGATGATTAGGATTCAGTTCTTGACAATTACATTCTAAATTAGAATTTTAAGGAATAATGAAAATACGCTACGCACAAAATACATTTTAGGAAAAAATGAGTTGATTTTTTATTTTAAAACTTCTTAATTCATTTAGTAAACATCGTATCCTCGTTTTTTATTGAATCCAGAATGTTGGTGTCGTTTATATAATTATTCTTACTTGTCCACAGAATCTGCTGACTTCTCCAGCCATTAAGTAGCTGCAGATCATTTCTACATAACCATTGAACTTCCATTAATTCAGTCTCTAGAGGGTTGTATGTTTATATCATAATTTAAACTTTTATAAAAATGATGATTATTCTAATATTATGTTTCTATAAAAATATATTGTGCCTTAAAATATGGATAATAGTATCAGCCGCTCTTTCAGCAACTTCAAAAGCAACAGTTTGTTTAGAAATAAATATGCAGTTAATGTCATAAAATTCAAATAAATATCAACGAAAATTCTCAGTTTTAGACAATTCGATTTAAACGAAGTAAAGTAGCAGACGATAAAACGCCGAAGGTAAAAATTTACTCTTACAAAAACTTACTCTTAAATTTTTTAAAAAAAGAAAAGATACGAGAGAAATTTAAACAAAAATAGTTAAAAATTTGAATAATATCATCTATAATTTAAAAAAATAGCCTTTCATATAGTATTAATAAATATTTATTACGCATCATTGAGGGAAAAAATGTCATATACTAATTAATTCTCCGTAAAATTTTACTTGAAGTTTAAGGTTAAAATAGCTGTGGCAATTCAGTGTAACAAAAATCCATAGACCACATTTGGCGTTATTATCGCTCAAAAAAAGGTGCCAAATTTCAAACGCGAAATTATGTAAATTCGTGTATATCTTAGAAATTTTGAGTAAAAAAGTCTAATTTTTTGCAGATATGCTTAAAATACACCTACTTTAAGATGATGGTAAACATTTTATAGGTTATAATTCAAATGTTTTTTCGAAAAAATCTATAGAAATTATTTAAAAAATAAAATTAAAAATAAAACGCAAAAAATGGTAAATTTTATTTGGAATGAACCAAAATTTCGAAATGTGAGAGAAAAATCAAAAAAGTTTAATAAAAAAAAGAGATATTAATAAATATTTGCCAAATTCAATTAACATTGAGGAGCTAAAATTTTGAGAGCTAATATTTTAAAAACTAATCGTACGATTTTTACAAAACTTGGTAATTCTGGCATAATTTGAGTCGTAGAAATCGAAATATGTAAAAAAATTGGTATGTTATTTCAGAAAAAGTCCGATTTTTGTGTCAAATACCTATGTTAGAATAGTACTATATATAAATCTAATATATATCCTAAGTCGCGCTTTCGAGACATGAAAAACGTAGTTTGAATTTTGTCAATCGCGCCCCAGTAAGAACGGGAATATGCACTGTCCCATTTTTTTTTTTTTTTTTTTTTTTTTTTTTTTTTTTTTGAGCAGTGTACATTCACAAAACTAACAGAGGTCAAAGAAGGTTGTCGAAGGGTCCTCCACGAATTGTAGTACAGGCCGTCGTGTCTCCGGGGCAAGAAATATTCTAGATATTCCGGGCATGTTTCTAACTACCCTGCCAGCTATTGCGATGCGTGCAAGCAGCTCTACGGTGATGTCAACAATGGTATCCAAATCCAAAGTCTCCCTCCCACCCCTCCGAAAAAAAAAGAAACAACATCCAGCAATCCAAGTTTAGAATTTGAAGCTGCCACTGGAAGGTTTGCATCTTGGTAAATTGTACTTAATTAATAAGAAAGGCAGCAACATCAAAAGAAGGTTGCCTGGATTCGTGTACAGAAAGCTCCGGATTTCGAGCCTACTGTTATGAGCTCGTATTGTCTCCAGTTCTGACTATAGGTCCAGTTTAATGTCTATTCTAATTTAGTGTAATGTCAGTTCAGTTCTATTTTATTGCTGTTCTAACTACGTTTATAACAGGAGGCACGAACAGAAAATATTCCAGCATTAGGAAATATAATAGTTACAGCTGTATAGATGTAATGGCATGGAGCTGAACAATGATATAGACAGATGTATTGCTCTGCATAAATTTCTATAGGAAATTTCTGTCTCTAGAAAGATGTCGTGATGAAATCTTAATAATCCTGAATAAAGCTTTTAGACGGCCATTTGGAATTTTCTTACCGTAAATAATAATGTACTTTCTACTTCAAGGAAAGTGGTTGATAAATTTTTCGAAATCAAAAACACCGAAAGAATAATATCCGCAACTAAACATCATGTGATTTAAATCCAATACAGAGTATATCAGACTACGCTGGGAAAGCTTGTGCACCCTACAATTCTTCTCACACAGCTCGATGCGTTGAATACCATATACTCACTTGGACTTACTCTCTTAAATTTTAATTCTAATCCTAATGAGAACCTGAAATCGGCTGTGATATGTGTTGAGTTAAGGAAAATCGCACTTCCTATCAATGTCAAAAGTTTGCCTTTGTTTCCAAGATATTTTTTTCTTAAATTTCACTGTCATGTATTAAATTTGATTATTTATTGACATAGCTTTTGAATTATATCCATACATATTTGGATTTCTTTATTCTCTATACATGTTATGATGCCATGCATCACCACACATGAATTCATATAAGTTTATTTAACAGTTTTTGAGAACCCACCGTTTTCTTGCACTTAAGAATAATTCTTAACACAAAAGAAATTTTTTATCTACTTCATGCCCTTTGTTTTAAATGTTATATGATATTCAAACTAAGTTATTTCGAAAATGAAGAGAAGACTTAAAGAGGCTTTTCTGAATAATCTTTACTTTTCCTTATAGCCTCTTCCCCCCCCCTCCGAATCATGTATCTTTATGTGGAATAATGTTATTTTTTCTCATCCAGAAATTGAATCTTTACATGTCATAGTATGCTGAAAAAATTAAAAGATCGATGACAGAAAACTACGTTAGTACAAAAGCCTCTTTTAATGAATACTATGCAGAGCTTACACAGTATTTTGCATTGACCAAATCTTTATGTATATGCAAGAATTTATAAAATAAGAACAGCACTTCCCCTTCTTAACTTTTGCAAAGGCATTTATTTAGTTGTATGTACATTAAGATTATTTATTTATATCAGCCAGTATTTCTAATTCATCTATTATACAATAAAATCAACAGGAATGTGGTAAAATTATTTCTTGTTTCAATACAAACAGCTCAATTAAATCAAGAAACATAATCATAATTGATTAAATAGTCTTATGGCAAAAGTTTCAAGTAGTATTTAAACTCTTAATTCATGAAAATTCATAAAGAAGCCAAAGAGAAAAAATTTTTAAATTGTAGTTTCCTCTTAGCTTATGCAGATTCTGAAAGCTCTACTAAGTATTTTCTCCCGCTTTCCAGCATACCTTCGTGGTGTAATGGTAGCACACTCAGCGCGTATTCGAGAGGTCCAGGTTCGCATCCCGGGGATGGCATTGCATATTTTTCACATCTCCTGTTTCAAAATAACCTAATGACTCTACAAATGGCGCCCGAACTATAAGATGGTGGACAATAATTCGTCACAACCAGGATTTGGCGATTGGTTTCCCCTAATCCCCAGTCGTCCTTTAAAAGAGAGAGTATAAAAGCCATTTAAGCCCTGTGGCACAATGGCTGGCGTGTCGAGCAGCTGCATCACAGGTCCGAGATTCGATCCCCGGGCTGGGCAAAGTATACTCAGCCTTTCATCCCTTGAGTGGGTCGATAAAATGAGTACCACGTTCGCTTGGGGATAAAACACTGGAGGTCCCGTGACAAGCTGACCACTTGTCCAGGGCATATGCTGATGCACTCCGGAGCCTAATGTCAAGAAAGGAGATTTCGGGGCACTGCAACCGGTGGCCCAATAGGGCTGTTGCGCCCTGAGTTTAGTTTAGTTTATAAAAGGTATTTTCTCCTTCCTTCCAGCATGCCTTCGTGGTGTACCAGTAGCACAGAGGTCCAGGTTCTAGTCCCGGCGAGAGCACTGCACATTTTTCACATCTCTTGCTTCAAAATAGCCTAATAACTCTACAGCTTTTTTAAGTATATTTTATTTAAAACTTGTTTCGAGAATTTGTATAGATGATTATACAGCTTGGTATGTTCTCGTTGCTCTAAAATAATGGGTTCACATCTTATACTATTTTACGCTTTCTGCTTGCAAGCATACTACAGCCTAAGATAGTTTATTATTTGCCTTTTCATGAGTTACCCTGAACATAACTGTAAAATACATTCTTAATTCTGTGTTAAACTAACACTCCAACAGACATTCTTGAAAAATTTTATATGTTTGGATACAGATTCTTATGGTTAAAGGGAATTTTTGCTGGCCTTAATTTTTGGAAAATAATGCCTTTTCTTAACAAAATCAAAAATACATTTTGGATACTAGCAACATCGTATTTTGTTTGCCTTGAATTACACTACAGTGTAGTTATAAAAAGAAACTGCACACAATTTTCAGCATGATGCAAATTCGTATTTATTATATATTAGTATTACAAAGTACATATTTAAAAATATTTACTGAAAAGTTTGTGAAGGCAAAATTATGTAACAAGTTTTTAAAAGATTAAAGCACATTTAGGGGAATGGAACATTTTATATTCTCTGACCTATAATTCTGTCTTCAGCCTCCTCAGAAATGTCCTCGGTGAAGCCATTTCTAAGATAATATGGCACATATCCACATTTCATTTGCAGAAAAACACACAATCAGTGCCTGTCACCCTAGAAGAAAGAAACATTCCAATCCGCTCAATAAGTTTACCCATGTAAGATTTCAGAAGTAATCAATAACGTAAATTTCACAGATACATTTATAAGAGGTATTTGATAAGGAGAGGAGAAGATATTCGATCTTGGCTCATAAAACTACATTAAAATATGCTTTATAAACACATTTTTTATCATAATTTATTTATAAATATGAAACACATATATAAAACAGTAATTTAAATAATAATGTAATAAATTTTGTGATTTATGGTACCGCAAGGTTCTATAAATATTTGGTATTGTAAGATTTCATAGTATGTATATATGAATCAAATATCTTGGGATGCACCATCTAGATACAATTAAATACTTAACTATTTCACAAATACATATCTCACAAAAATATGATTTTTCAAAAGTGATCTCCCTGGCTCTTTTCATCTTTCAGGAAAATTTGGAAAGAAAAGTGCTAGAACTTCGAAGAGAATATAAATTTAGAATTACTTGTAACCTACTTTCTATGAAACTTATCTTTTAGCCTCTTACTTTTTTTCTAATCAATAAGTGTAGAAATCACCTTTCGAGCTATATTAATAGAAGAAAATAAATGCTAAAATATCAGTACCCTTGCTGTAATATTTTGATATCCAAATAAAATACTTTCTGATTCAGAACATGTGCACTTGCATTTATATACTGTATTTTTAATATAAGAGATTGCAAAAATGCTAAAAAAAACAAAATAACTATTCAATTCACTGATATTCAAAATATGAAAATTATTAAAATCAAATTAAACTTTTGTTATAGAGGAGGAATATGGGAAAATGGCATATAAACTTTCATAGACATAGATTGTTTATAATTTGAATGCATATAGAGTATTGTTGCTCTATATACAAAACTTTAAAAAAAATAGCAAACTGCATTTCTCTTTCAGTGCATAGCCCACCAGCGGCCGAGCGGTAAAGTCGCAAAACACTGGTAGTTCGGTCGCGAGTTCGAATCTCGCGAATGGGGTTGGCTGCAAGTGCATTGTCGTAGTTTTCACCATGTTAGCGTGTATATGAGCCAGTTTTCCTTAGAAAGTCCTCCCTCCTCTTAGCAGAATAGCCCTTGAATATTTTGCCATTATCAAATACACCACACCTTCAGTGGATAGACATATTTCAGTTCATGTTTCCATACTATGAATTAAATCATCAATTAAATCCAATGGGATGTGCCATTCTTGTAAAAGGGCAGATCTGACTTTCTGGAGGCTCCATGAAACGAACTGGCATGAGCCCATTTATATGATTCAGAGCATCTAAGAGATGTTCAACAACAATAAACTCAGGAGAGTATATAGTGCCTAATGTATTCAAACAATATCCTGCAGTACATCTACCAAGGTTTTCATCCACCCATAACAGCTCTATGAGTCAATGTTATCCATAAGCAAAATCTTTAAACACAAAGCAAACTCAGAAGCCTTATTTGGGGAAGCACAACATTATCTATATATCACTGCATGATTACAGAATTTCTCTTACAAATATGGAGCACAGTAAGGCTGTTTCTTATGACCCTCATAATAAGTAAATTGACACCATAGAAACAATATCTTTCAGGATGTGACAGAATGTTGTAGGTACCAGACCCTCTCCAGATAAAAGTACATTTGGAATTATTTATACTTAAAATAAATTCCTACATGAATAATATCTAGGCCCAGATATTTTAGTTCCACTGACATTACAAACAACACCATCTCATATGTTGTTTTCTGGAGGACACAGATTGCAAAATGTAATGTAATGTCTTTTCGATTGATCTCGCTCATGAAAACTTTGCTAAGCAGATTTTTATTCAAATACAAGTACTTTTTAAGGAATCCAAGGCCAACACTGTCTAGCATCTGCATAAGGTCCCCATCTGACACCAATCTGTTTGACACAAATAACTGTTTCAGACAATTTTTCTATCTGGTTTACTAGGGAAAGAAAGACATGCGATTTTTTCCCTCCCTTTCGAAAGAATAGTAAATTGTTCGTTTTCAACCAATGTAATATGAGTTGTGCTTATATCTGTATGACCATATATATATACATATAAACTTGCATATATATATACTTGTATAATGAAAACAAGGAAAGGACGGAGCAGTGTTGATGCATAATACCTAGATAGGATAGATCGTAGATCCATATTAAAGAGGAATAATTCCGATTGCATAATATGCTAATATGTTGAGTTAGTAATATCTAAGAAGTTTGGCAGTCAAGATGGTTTTAATTCCATTTTTATTTGAATTTACATTTGTAGCCACAGCTTACTTGGCACTCTAATTGTGCCTTTCCAAAGCATTTACATTTGTGAATACTAGCTGCAATAGGAAAAGAGCGAGGGTTATAGCATCCAAACAGCACATAACTTAGCTTATAAGTGGCGCATTTATCCAGTATGGAAGCTTGCCAAGAGGAAGGTTTTAGTTTAGTTTAGAAAAGTTTCGGTTCTCAAAATTGTAAGTTTACGTTTCAAATTAGTTACGTCATAACATTACGCAAGCCATGCGAGATGGATTGATCTAGAAATGACGCAAATTTTGATTTATATATTTTTTATCTTACATATATATATATATACATACAAACTTACATATTTATGGGAGTTTATACATGAGATAAGACGTGCACATACTTAGATACATATAATGAATAGAAACATACGCAAACATACGCAAACATACATATGTATTGATAAAATATAAATGCATGTACATGTAATTTTATATGGGTGTAATTATATATGTGCATATTTTAGGCCAGATACTTACTATTCTCACTTGGAATTCTGATAACTTACTTCATAAATGGCTGAAGAATTTAATGCTAAAATGATGGGGGAATGATCGACTAATCCAATGTTTTAAACTGAACATTTAATGGAGATTTTAATGATTTCTATACACTATGAAAATGGAGGACAAGAACACGAATATTACAAGAAAACTATCACAGTAAAGAAAAACAGAAAAAAAAAAAAAAAAAAGGCATTTCATCTTTGAACGTATACACACCGTCTTTTCGTTAGTTAGCTCTTCTTTGTCATGGCGGTTTAATCTGCTTACAACCCCCTTCCCCCATAAAAACAGAGTTCTCCCAGACAACATGCAGCGCTATCTGTCAGTCTCAAAAAATGACATCCTATATACACTCGACCATTCTGACGGCATATGTGCCCTCGCATGCTGGAAAAGAGGGAGAAAAAGTAGGATTTTTAAGTTTCACTGAATTTTGAACTTTACTTCGTCAGATTATCTATTCTTCGACGTCATCTGGATAAGTCCATCTGAATCCATCTTCTTAAGCATCATCTGAATACATCATCTAAACATCTTCAGGATACATCTTCTCAGTGGCGTAGCTGGGGTGGGGCAAGGGTGGACTTCTGTCCCCAGGTGGCGCCAAACTGATCTACGAAATTTTTAAATGAAATGTTTTCCATTCTCGGCACACAGAAAGAGGCGCAAATTCTTCAGTTGTCCACGGGTGCTGGAATCCTAGCTACGCCACTGCTTCTTCTAAATGTGTCTCTCAAACACCATGTGAATACGCCTTCTAAATGCGTCTTCCTTAATACGTTTGACACTTAGACACCATCTTCATTGTTCTTGAAATAGCTCACATCTTTAAAATAATAGTCTTGTAGTCAAATTGGCAGAAATTTGTGAAGTCGGGAAAAAGTCTACTTATACAGACTTTTTCCCGACTCTATAAGCAGATACTATATAATGAACTAAGCATTAAATTGTAAACATAAATTCAAATATTGTTGACAAATACGTTATAAAACTATTTAAGCAAGAATTGTTCGTACTGGAAAGCAATCTGTTAAAAGGTAATTTAAAGCAAATTCTATGAGATGCGTACTAAAAAAGTATTAAAGAAGAGTTTTGGAATACGTACTGTTGAAATTATGGGTAAAAAAAATCTAATAAGTATAATTAAAAGAATTATTCCCCTTACATTTTATAACTCAGTTACAAGTTTTAAATAATACTTTAAAAAAAAAATCCTTATTTTATTTCCTTTCAGAATATTCAGAGAAAGTTAAGTACTATTTAAAGTATTTCGCTTTCAAAATATTAGGTGCTCTAATTTGAAATAGACCGAATAGATCATTAATTACTAATTCAGAAGTCAAACAACAAAAATCAGCGTTAATTTACAAAATTTTCACAGGACTAGTTTCGATGGTTTTACCGAACCATCATCTTCAGCTGCAAAACCGCAAATGAGCAAGATAGGAAATAATGTTTAGATAAGATAAGAAAGCCTGGACAAGAATAAGCAAGTGGCGCCATCTGTTGGCGAAACCAGAACTAAAACATAATTTCTCTAAAAGCCGAAGGCAAATTTGGATTGGAATTAGGATCGTTAACTAGAACAGAAGATTTTTATGAATGTGAAATGCCTCTAGAAAATCCAGTTCTCCAATGGAAGATGTTTTTTGAATAAATTTTGGGCAGCAGAAAAATTGAAAGTGTGATTTTCGGACCAACAATGTTGAGCAACAGAAGACTTCTGTGTTTCCTTTTTTCTAACATATGCCTCATGTTCTTTGACGCGAAATTTTAAGGCTCTCTTAGTTTGGCCAATGTAAATTAAACCGCACACTGGCAAGGAATCCTATAAATACCCAGGAATTCATATCCGGAATGCGTCAAAGAACATGAGGCATATGTTAAAAAAAGGAAACACAGAAGTCTTCTGTTGCTCAACATTGTTGGTCCGAAAATCACACTTTCAATTTTTCTGCTGCCAAAATTATTCAAAAAAACATCTTCCATTGGAGAACTGGATTTTTCTAGAGGCATTTCACATTCATAAAAATCTTCTGTTCTAGTTAACGATCCTAATTCCAATCCAAATTTGCCTTCGGCTTTTAGAGAAATTATGTTTTAGTTCTGGTTTCGCCAACAGATGGCGCCACTTGCTTATTCTTGTCCAGGCTTTCTTATCTTATCTAAACATTATTTCCTATCTTGCTCATTTGCGGTTTTGCAGCTGAAGATGATGGTTCGGTAAAACCATCGA